TTCCCCTGGACCTGGACGGGGAGGCCCCCCGAGGGGTTGGAGCGTCCAAGATGGTCCAAGATGGCCCCCAGAGCGCCTCGGAGACCTCAAGATGAGTTCCAAGATGGCTCAAGATATCCCAGGATGCCTCAAGATGGCCCCCACGATGCTCCAAAAGGCCCCAAGGCCGCCCCAAGACGGCTCCAAGTCGCCAGAGAGCTCCCTAAGGAGGCCCCGAAGAGGCCCAAATCCTTTCAACACCTGGACACGAATAGTAAGAGTATCAATGCGAATCAGACTAATACTTGTAATCATTCTATACTTGTAATCATGTGCGTTGGTTTCTCGCCTTTACGCTTCCGATGGCCCTCCGAAGCTTCACGAAGCCTCAAGATGGTTCCAAAATGACCCAAACGGGCTACAACAGAGGCTCAAGAGAGCCCGAAAACAGCCCCAGGGGCGCCCAGGAGCGCCCCAAGAGCGCCCAAAGAGGCGACTCTTGGGGCTCTCGAGGGGCGAGGCTAATTCAAACTCCCTTCTGTTTTGAATGACGTCCTCCAAGAGGTCCCAACAGCGCCAGTGAAGCTCCCGAGAGCGCCCCCGCCCCAAGAAGGCACCACGAGGCGCCCAAAAGCCCCGAAAGGTCTCCAACAATCTCCCAGGAGGCCCCCCAAAGACCCCCAAGAAGCCTCAAGAGGATGCCCGAGGCACCCAAGACGCTCGAAGAAGGCCCTGGGTTCGCCAAGATGCCCGTTCTCTTCTTCCTCCTCCTCCTCCTTCTCCTCCTCCTCCTTGTCCACTGTTTCTTCCTCCTTCCTCCTCTTCGCCCTCCTCCTCCTCTTTCTCCTTCTCCTCCTCCTCCTTCTCCTCCACCATCCTCCCCCTCTTGGGGTATCGGGCGGCTTCTCCCGCCCTTTGTTATTCTGCATGCTCCACCGCTTCCCTGACCACCTCAACGCCCCTGGGCATCGTTTATATGGACGGGCTCGCGGGGATTGTCCGGCACGCGGGCGCGCGAAGCAAGTCGAGAGCCGAACATGCTAGGGCGGGCCGCGCCGCAGCGAAGGAAAAACAGCGAAGAGAACAGCAACCGCCCGCCACAGAGCGGAGCAAGGCGAAGCGCAGCCAAAATGGCGCGGGAGGCATCGCGTAGGCGCCGAGAACACGGCCACGAAGGTGCCGAAGAAGACGCTTGCGTCAATGAGCGAAGGACCGCCCACGTGACCGTAGCGAGCGGAAGCGAATGCAACAGTTACCCAGAACGGCGGTGGCCAGGAAGGGAAAGGGCGATGCGGGCCAACGATTCCCCAGGTAACTTGCCGAACACGAGGCACAGGACCCAGTAAGTCTCCACGACGTGGAACAGCGAACGGACCAGCAGGAGTAGCGCACGCGCCAATGAGACGAACAGGAACGGCGGGTGAGTAACAGTCGTGGAAGAAAACGGCCTCCAGGTACCGTGCAGAGCGCGCAGATGAACGCCGACACGTCGGAGACAAGCACCGCGAGGAAGGAACGGCGGACGGTCGGGCTGCGGCCGCTCTGGAGCATCCCCCGTGGATGCGCGAACCATCAAAATTTTTGGGCGGCGGGTACAAACGCACGACAGGCGCAGAACACAAGCACCGCAACGAATGAACACGCAGGTGGAACTACGCAGACAGAGCCGAAGTAGGCGGGAGGAGGTAGCGGAGGAACCAGGCATGATCGGGGGGGAGGACAGACTTGATGGCGGGCACGTGGGAAGGAGCACTGATGGAGGATGACCTGGGCACTGGTCGTTCACACAAGTCGCTCTTGAATCGCATCCTCCCGGATCCGTCAGAGTTTTTTCGGGAAGACGGGATACCGGGCTTCCCCCCAAACTAATCGCCTCCCAGACCTGTCCTTCGAGTGCGGTCTGGGCAGACATTCCGAGGCGGACCCAGCCGTTGCCAAGAGGCCGACCAAAGAGGTCCAGACAGGACACAGAAACACACGCACCGACCTGGAGATCCGACGTCGTGATTGTCTCAGAACTGGCACCCCGAGACTTCCCGACCCGTTCACGGGCAACGGAATCTCGCTCCGTGCCGATACGTTACGGTCTGGTAATGGCCGGCAAGGGCAGCAACCGCAGCATTACACTTAGGGCGGGCATGTCCCCCTACAGGGGGATTCTGGACGAAACATAAAACATACACCACAAATATTCCAACATGGACACAATATGCAAAAAAACGTCCCCGGACTATTTTTGCCTATTCTTGAACATCCCCCCTGTAGAGGGACAGACCCGACTTAACATTACACCCCCGCGGCAGAAGGCCAGAAGCAGCTTTCCACAGCTCACGGGGGGGGCGCGAGGCGAGGCCACGGGGGGGGGGCCACGAGGCGAGGCCACATTGGGGGCCACGACGAGGGGCCATCGTGCGAGTCCACGGTGGGAGGCCTCGGTGGGGGCCAACGGTTGGGGGCCACGCAGGGGGGCCCACCGACGGGGGGCCACCGAACTCTTGGGGCTGGGGTCCCCCACCAGGCGCTATGAACAACAGTACTACATTCATACGGGACTGCAGTGGCGCTTCGCACTGGGCACCTTGGTCGTGGAAGTTGGGTGCGAAGGAGGAACGGCAGGAAGGTCAGACCGACAATGTAGCGATAACTCCTTGTTGCTTTTTCTGGCATCGCCGTTATGAGAATGTTATTCGTGATCCTTCCTCCAATGTTCTTGTTCCTCATTATTGCCCTAGCCAGCGTATTCTCCCCATCCTCCTCAACTCTTTTTGCGGAAGCTCCTCCTTCGAGAGCCTCTAGGGGCCTTACGGCAATTTTTCAAGCTTTCTTGAGGCCTTCTGGAGGCCTCCTGGGCGTCTTCTGGGGGCCTCTGGGGGCTTCCTCGGGCCACCCTGCCTCCAACCGCGGTCTCCCTGAACGACCGGGTCACGATTTGGAATGCTTCGGGGGGTGTCTTGGGGCCATCTTGGTCCCTCACGGGGCTCTCTCAGGCAGTCTTGGAACCCTGTTGTGCCGCCTTGGGGCTTTCTTGGACTTCCTGGAATCCCTTTCGGATGGTTGTGGGGCGACTTTCGAGCCTCCCAGGCGGCTTCGGACACCCAGAAGACCGCCGTCTTGGAACGTCGGGAATCCCAAAAGAGGAGAACCCCCCAAATTCACCAAAACTAACAGAAAGTCTATGAATTTAGCCTCTTGGGGCCTTCTTGGGAGTACTATTGGAAGCCTCTTGGGACGTTTTGGAGCGATCTTTCGGGGTATGACGGCTTCTGTGGGTTCGTCGTGGTGGGCCGTCGTGAGGCTCTCTGGGGTCGTCTCGGGAGCGCGCCGCAACGCCTGGAGCCCTCTGCCTGGGGCCGTCTTCGGGCTCTCGTGAGGCCGAGGGTGGGCCAAATTCGTTAGGAGGGGGCGGGGGGGGAGGCTTTTTCTGGGGTCCCCGGCCGTATAAACATAACAATGAGAAAGAGAGAGAGAGAGAGAGAGAGAGAGACAGTGAGAGTGAAAGAGAGAGAGACCGTACACAAGTTGTGGCGGGAAAGTCCACGAAGCGAGGAAGTCAAGGAACCTCAATCCTCGGTCCAGCCCTCCCGCCCCGGTCTCTCGAGCGCGGCGCTGGCTGGCGCTCTCCCCTCCCTCTCCTGTAGGGGGGTATGGCGACCCACGTCCCCCACCATGTGGAAGCATGTGGGGCCCAACTCTGGGATATACGATCGGGGGGGGGGGGGCGTTACTCCTCGACAGGGGTGCGTCCGAATGGCCACCTGGGACGTACCCCCAAATCTCCGATCTTTCCCGCCGGGGCAGTCTGTTTTGGGGGAGTTCCGGGACTGGGAGCGAGAGCTCGCCTGCGACCCTGGCTGGGCCGCTCCGGAAATCCGGCACCCCAGGATCTTCTCGGTCGGCCTGGGCAGCAGGGCCGCGGCGAGGCAGCAAGCCACGTGCACGTGCCCCCTCCTCATGCAGACGCATGGGGGAGGGCAGCTCGGAGGCTCCACCGTGCGCCTCCCGCCGCTCCCTCGCGTCGCGGGAAAAAGCACGCGCACGTGCTCGTTTCCATGGTCGGCCAAGGGCGGTCAACCCACACAACGACTTGGTAAGAGACACCGCTCCTGCAGGAAGGTTCCGGACTTCTGGGCGTCGACGATGTGACGAGCGTATTTTCTTACTCGCGGCCATAGCGGGCATTATGGAGGAGGGGGGGCGGGCAGGGGGCATAACGTAGCGCCCCCACACCCCACCTCCCAGACTGTGGTGTGGTGCCGAAGCACTGCGGCAGTGCCGGGGATGCACTGAGGGATGGAGCGTTACGTTATGGGGGAAGAGAACGAGGGGGAGGGAGGGCAGGGGGCATAGCGCGCGTTATTGCCCAGAGGATAAAAAAACACTCTCAAAGAAGTTGGGACGTTGGAGGTCTGGGCCGATGGCCTCCCGCCTGGAACAAAATCGCGGCGTCGGAGGGCAGGGCACCCGGCGTCCAGAACTGGCAGGGTGGTCTCAAGCCCTTGGCATTTTCAGCAGGCGTGTCTGCGCTTCGGCCTCGAAAGCCGTACACCACAACAATGACCACAGCCACGACGTCGACTCTTTGTGTCGGCATTCGCCATATAGTATAGCATTCGACATGGTGGCACAGGCGCAGGCGTTGTCTTCGCATGCCACCGCCATCTCAGAGGACCGTCCTGACGAGGCCCTGGAGGCCGAGACGCGTCATAGGTGGCAACTCCTGGGAAGTCTTCGCGGGCACGACGACGCGATGTAGAGCCAGATTTGCCAGCTACTTGGCCCGACTTGGGACTCAGCCCTGACCGGCGCTAATTAGGCTCTGACAGGCAGCGTGGGATGTCTGGGCCTCTGCCAGATTCTCCCTTGAAAACAAATCTCCAGTGGCTCACCATTCCACCTCCCCCAACAGTTGCGGCAGAAACAATACGGTGGCGGCACCGGCATGAGATCGCAGCGGCAAAAGCACGCAGAAGACTCGGCAGGCTGTGACTGGCGGTTTGAGCGCCGTCGGCTGGGGAGCTGGCCTGAGGCGCTGACGATTGCGACCTTGACGCCACCAGTGCCTGCGGTGGCCGAGGAGTGCACTTCCCCGCCCCATCCCCTCCCTCCTTCCTCCCCAGACCTCCGACGCGGTGATACCGTTTGCAACATGGAACCCAAGAGGTCCCGACCCCCTCGTGGAGACCGGCTTTTCAACCCGACTAGTTTTTTCCCGGCGCCAGGGCCTGGCCTGGGACTTCAGAGGCCATAAATGACACCAAAGTCGCCCGTCAAAAACTTTTTCACGACCCAAATTGCTGGAGGCCAGGTCATTTTTTTTGTTGTGTTTTTTTTTGGATGTGGAAGCCCACGTTGTCCTGACCCTGCTTCTCGTTCCTCCTCGCCCCCTCTTGCAACGCCTCAGCGCTAGGGAAGGCATATCCAACACAATGCTCAGACTGCGCCTTGTGGCAGTAACGACGGCCGCGGCACAAACCGCGGGGCCTGAGAGGCCCATCACGAAGAAATCTCAACAATAAACAACTCTCGCAAACCTGGCTTCTTCTTCCCAAAAACGTCGGTGGCACATCATGGGAGCCTCCCATGTCGTCTTGCGGGATCGTGTGTTGAGCTCTTCGGATGACCACATTCTATCCGACCACTCATGAAGGAACATATGAAACAGATATCACTTTTGAGGCCAACAATGCAATACAAATAATATCATTGAGATAACAATACTATCCGTGCTAATAAATTGGAATCAAATCGCATACCTTCATGTATTCGTCACCACTGCAGGCAACATTCTGCCGCGGCACCGAAACCGCTGGTCCAAGGGAAAGATGGCAAGGGAGGAAGGTTGAATCGGGCAAAGAGGGCTCCTCTTCCCCCCTCCTCATTCCCCCCCCACCCAGCGCAACAGGGCCCCAAGACGGCCCAAGACGGCCCCAAGGGACCTCCAAGACTGCCTCACAGGAGACCGAGACAGCCTCAAGACGGCCCAGACGAGTTCCATCATCATCATCATCATCATCATCATCAGCAGCAGCAGCATCATCATCATTATCATCATCAGCATCACCATCAGCATCCTCCTCCTCCTCCTCGACAACATCACCATCCTCAGCATCATCATAAGCATGATCATCATCATGATCAATATCATCACCATCACCATCACCATCACCATCAGCACCATCATCATCATCGTCATCAACATCATCATCATCACCCGCATCATCATCATCACCATCATCATGGCCGTGATCAGCATCGTCATCATCAGCATCACTAGCATCATCAGCATCATCATCGTCACCATCATTATCATCGTCCTCCTCATCATCCCCATCCCCATCCTCATCCCCATCCTCATCCTCCTCATCATCATTATCGTCGTCGTCCTCGTCGTCATCATCATCATCATCACCATCATCATCATCAGCAGCATCGTCATCACCATCACCACTGTCACCGTCATCATCATCATCACCAGCATATCATCAGCAGCATCATCATAAGCATCATCAGCATCATAATGATCATACTGAAGATCATCACTGTCGTCGTCATCGTCATCAGAATCGAAATGATCGTCACCGTCATCGTCGGCGTGAACATCGTCATCATCATTCTTATCAGCATCATTAGCATCATCAGCATCAGCATCAACATCACCACGTCATCATGCTCACCATCCTCAATCACCATTATCAGCATCGTCATCATCATCATCGTCGTCGTCATCATCATCATCATCATTATCATCATCATCATCATCATCATCAGCATCATCATCATCATCATCATCATCATCATCATCAGCGTCACCATAAACACCACCGACAGCACCACCATCAGCATCACAATCACACTCATCATAACCATCATCAGCAGCAGCATCAGCCTCATCATCTTCATCATCAGCACCATCATCATGATCATTAGCATCCTCCTCATCATCATCACCAGTATCATCATTATCATCCTCATCCTCAACCTCCCCCTGATCATCATCATCAGCAACAGTATCATCGTTGTCATTGTTACCAACAGCATCGTCATCATCTCAAGCATCAACATCATCAGCAGCAACCTCATCTATCCACCCACCCATATTTCCATGTACATCACCCTTATCATCTGCAAAATCATCATCACAAGCATCAGTATCATCAGTATGATCGTGATCATCATCAACATCATCATCATCCCCATTATTTCCAGAATCGTCATCACCCTCATCACGAATGTCCCAAGCCTGGAGACACGAGGTGTCACACGTGACGGCTTCCCGTGCCCCCTTGGACAGTCGCCACCCAGAATGCTGGGCTGACAGGGTGGCAGGACCCGCCTCAGGCAGCTGGATCTGTGTAATAGTTCTCTTCGTTAAATACGAAGGGTCCCGCTTGGACCAGGGCGCGATCGAGTCTAAAAAAATCTAGCCCTGTTGGACATGTTTTCCATTGAAGCCACCGTCCTTCTCCTGCTCCTGCTTGTATTGCTCCTCCTGCCCAGGGATCCCAGAATGAGAACGACATTTACGTATCGTGTTGGGAAGAAGGCGCTGGGAAGATACAGGGCGCGCGACCGTGTAATACACCCACCCAACATACGAGAGAACACGAATGACCTGCTGATTTTCCCAGCCCCATCCTCTCAACCCGATGCGTGGCGGAGTTCGGAACCCTGAACCCAAAAACGTTTTCATCTCTTGGGGACGCATTGTTTTCTTCCGCCGCCTTCCGCCGAGCTTCTGTCGGCTTCCGCCAGCGGGGGCGGCCTCGTTTTACTTCCGCCGACCTTCCGCCGCCTTCCGCGGCGGAAGAGAGGACAACTCGTGTTATCCTCGAAGGCAAGGCCTGCCTTTGGAACGCCCCCATGTCTTTCTCGCAGAACTCCGACGCCGCGACTTCCCCACAGCGTGGGGCTCTGGAGGCCTCGACCACTCACCGCGGCAGCCCGCCCTCCGCCCGAGTGGGTCTTCTGGGACGGCCCGGGGGGGGGGGAGAGAAAGGCCCCTACAGGGGGATTTTGGGCGAAAAAATCGAAAATAGTCGAAACATATGCCAAAACATATTCAAACATAGGGTAAAAATCGTCCCCATACGATTTCTTCACTAGTTTTGACAATTCCTTCTGTACAGGGATCCCCTATTTAGGTCACCCCCCCCATTGCCGCCCTTCCCGAACGTCGTCAGCGACGCTTCTTCTCGGGCCTCCAGCGCCCGTTCTGGGCGACTCAGGCAGCCCCGGAACGCCCTTGGCGAGGGCGCAGCTGCTGGAAAGTATCTCGACGCTGAGAAGCCAGACATCCGATGCCTTGGTTTTTGCAATACGGGGTCCCCCGAAGTCCCGACCCAAGGCTGGTCTTCCGTCCCGGCTCGTTTCTTGACGGTCCTGGGGCCCCGCGGGGCCCCCCGGATACCGAACACTGGCAGCAAAAGATCTCCCGGCATGATCTTGTACAAGGCGCGAGCATGTCTCCCGACACTGGAAAGCCTCCGACGTCAACGGCCCACGACTCGCTGGCGCGAGGTCTGGGCTCACCGAGGAAGAGGAGTTCGGAGGAGGACAGAGGGGGACCGAGGACAGACGAGGAGGAGGAGGAGGAGGAGGAAACGCAAGCCCCATGAACTCCGCCGAAAAAACGCCGGAGCCATGAGGTAAAGACGGACAACGTGGAGGAGGAGGAGGTGGGGGAGAAGAGAGGAGGAGAAAAAGGAGGAGGAGGATGCGGAGGAGAAAGACGAGAGAGGAGGCGGACCAAGAGGAAGAGCAGGAGGACGAGGAGGATTCACCAGGCGATGCCTGAAGGGCGGGGCGAGGCCGAAGGGCGGCTGGCGGTCGTGGCGCGCGGCCCGTCGAAGGTGGCAGTGCTGGCCCTGGCCGTCTGGAGGTCGTGGGGCCTCTTTGGGGGAGGGCATGCTGTGGGCACCCGACCGCAGGTGGCCAGCCGTTCACAGATACGAAATTTACAGTTCGAGAAGCAAAGTTCGAAGATCGAAGAGCACGGCGGCTCCACATTTGGGGGGCTTGTTTGGGGGGCCCCAGGGAAGATGGTGTGCTCGTCGCCGCAGCTGGACCCGCCTCGGAATCCTGGCCAGGGCACACCCAGGACAAGTCTGGGGGACTGATTACGTTGCACCCACAATCCCAAACCCCCCCGCGTCTTGGGAAGCACATCTACGTCAAGGAAAACCACATGCGTTCACATACAAAGATCTCGTGTTCATCTCGTTAAAATGAAACAAACACATAAACATAAATGTTTGGCACTCCGCGCAGATTTATTGGATCCGCGCTGGACCCCCCTCCCTGGCGCGCGGAGCGCGCTAGGGGCGGCGCCGGAGGTGCCGCCAGGGGGGGCGCCCAGGCGCGGATTCAAGAAATCCGCGCGGAGCGCCAAAATTTTATGTTTATGTGTTTTTTTCTTCGAATCGGTTCACATATGCATATCTCGTGATCATCTCGTGCTCCACGGGTGTGTTGTCCCAAACGACAGAGGCGCAGAAGGAGCTCAAATCTACACGCCGCTGCCCGAGCGGAAGGCACTGGGCGTGCCGCTCGGCAGAGGAGTACAGGAGGGCTGGCGGCTTGACTTCTTGTCGTCGTCGTCGTCGTCATACTCCTCCATCGAGGATCAAAAAACCCCTTTTCCCCTCTTTCGCGGCTGCTTTGAGCAACCTTTCGCGGTCCATGTTGTCGACGGAAAACAATTCACCAAGGCGTCTGGGGAGATCAAGTAACGCGAGGTGATGCCAATACATGGCTATGCCGGAATTCCACCAATTGAACTGCGGTCTCCCCGCCCGCCTCGTTCCGAAATATTTGAGCCGTCGTGTGCCGTATGCACATGTGCGCGATTGAATCAGAAAATTGCGCAGTAATGACTCCGGCGATCAACATTCGCCGTCGCTTTTCGTAGTACTCGCTGGTTGGTATGATCGCCTCAGTTGGCAGGAGTCCTAGGCCATTGGCCCTAGCTCGGTCTCTTATTTTGTTGACGATTTCGTTAGCACGACGAATAACAAGTTTATTCGTGTTCGCGCCGTTGCCATATGTTGTCTGAGGCTTTAGAATTTGCCCCGATCTCCACGTAGCCCATAGAAATTCGAAAACACCCGAAAAGCCTCCAACTCAGGCCCAAAACAGGCCAGGAATCTGATCATGGTCCCAAGACAGCCCAACAGAGCCAATACGCGCACCAGCACGGGCCCAAGCCATGACGGGACTGCACCACGTCCCACAGAGGCCCTCAGAAGTCCCCGGGAGGCTCCAATAAGGTCCACATGACGTGCACACGCTGACACGAGGCATCCCAAGAGCGAGCGGCCGCGCAAAGCAACTTCACCGTCGAGATGATCGAGCCCCGCTGCAACACGGTCCCGAGGCCCCACAAGGCCCTCACACAGCTCCTTCCATAATCCCCAACTTTTTGGTCTGCGGGGCGAGAGCGAACCTCTTCCGGTAAAAGCTAGGCGGGCTACGCACAGCTCTAATTGGGGAGACAAGGCACAGGCCCATAATCCCCAACACACGGCTATTGCTAAGCCCAGTTCGCCGTTCCGCATTTTGCCGTGTCATCCATGCCGCCTCCTACCCAAGTCTTTTGACACTCGCGAGCCCCTCACTGCGTTTCCTCCCCCTCTGTGGCCACGACCGCCCCCAGAAGCTCCCCAAAGCCCCCCAGGACACCTCCAACATATCCCAAAAGAAAGGCGACGACCTGCATGTCTCCAGCCACTCGTTTGCGATCAGCCGAATTTCTGCCCCTTTCCCATCGGCGAGACAAGACTTACCCTACTCTCCCTCACGTCATTCTCCTCCGATTCCTCCATGTCCTCTTCCTCCTCCTTTTCCTCCTCCGCCTCTTCGTCCTCCTCCTCCTTCCCTCTTCAGCGGATCCCGTACGCCGCCTGCGGGCGAAACTCAAGGACCAAAGTGCATGGCGCACAACACCAATGCAATCTTGTGTGTATATATACATATACTACACACACCTGTATTTGCATATTATGTGGGCCCTGCTGTACCGTCAACCTGGAATTCGAACAGATGCACAGTTTCTCGAGCGTAGCGCCCCTGTCGCGTCTCCTCCTCCTGCTGACGCTCCTCGCTGTTGTCGCCCTCCTCTGGGTCGATCTCATCCTCCTCGTTCTTTATCCTCAACCTCTTCCTCCAACCGAGGGGCGCGAATTCAGCCTTAGACGCATGATGTTGAAAGGCTACGGATACATGAACTCTGTGTAGTGCGTACAACAAATCATATGGTGGAAAGCTAAAGCATCGAATCCAAGTGTAAAAGGTTTCTGGATAGTTCACCTGATTCGTGATTGTAATAGAAGCCCTATTCTGGACGCAACAGAAATACAGCATAACAACAACTGCGAATATACAAGGTCAAAGAGAACATGAGATCTTCTATGTCCCTTACGGAAAGTCATCAGGGGGATGCATACACACACATCTATATATATATATGTGACACATGCAAGCGGCCATACGGATACACTCGCAAGCACACACGCACCGACAACATTATTCACTGCGTGGGGATCCCCATATGTGCATCTCCTTGCTGGCGCTCCCTTGGTGGTGGGACTCGGTGAGGACGAATCTGGATTTAAGTGTGACTGAGCTGCCTCTCTCTCTCTCTCTCTCTCTGCTCTCTCTGTCTCTCTCTCTCTCTCTGCCCTCTCTCTGTCTCTGCCTCTCTTTCCCTGCCTCTCTCTCTCTCTCTGCCTCTCTCTCTGCCTCTCTCTCTCTGCCTCTCTCTCTCTCTCTGCCTCTCTCTCTGTGCCTCTCTCTCTCTGCCTCTATCTCTGCCTCTCTCTCTCTCTCTCTCTCTCTCTCCTCTCTCTCTCTTCTCTCTATTCTCTCTCCGCTCTCTCCTCTCTCTCTCACTCTCCCTCTCTCTCTCTCTCGTTCTCTCTCTTCTCTTCGCTTCTCTTCTCTTCTCTCTAGTCTCGGCTCGAGAGTGCCCTGCACTCAGACCGCAGCCGCGACGCGAAGCGCCCCGCCTCGGAGTCAGACTCCCAGGCCTCGCGAGACCGGAGGGGTCCCAGCAGGACCTTACTGATTCGCGTCACCTCTCCACACCAGAGTGCCCGCAGCAATGGCCCCCAAGAAGCCGGAGCGCCGTCGCTCTTCTAAGCAGCCTCCGAGCTCCCGCCCCGCGCGCCCTGCTGCTGAAGGGTCCCTCCTTCAACGCAAGCAGGACTGCATCGCAGCGTTCAAGCAAGCGGGGTCTGACCGCCCCACGGCCGCCTACAACGGGCTAGCCGAACTGAACGCGGACGAGCTCCAGGCAATGTACGACATGCACAAGTCCAACACGAAGAAGCTTGGCAGCGCCCTTATCCGCATGTGCGCCGCCAACCAGATTAGCTACACGCTCGATCATCACCAGCGCAGCAAGCCTAAGCGCACTGGCGGTGACACATCGCACCCACCAGCGGGTTCCGCACGTCTTCAGGCTGCGGACACCCAATTCATCGCCTTGGACCCTGCCTTTTGGAAGGTCCCTGTCCTTGCCGAACCCACCTCGCCTGACGACGGCAAGACGTACAAGCCCAGCATCAGCCTCCACGACTACGAGAGTGGTGAACGGCTGCTGCAACACCACCTCGAGCAGGGCAAGCGAGCCACGGGTCAGCTCGCGATTGCTGTCATGGGCCCGAAAAACGACAACTACGTCGGTACCGAGCTCGCCGTCCCCGTCCTGAAGCGTCACCCCAAGGCGCCCAAAGTGGTCCACACGCACGTCCCCGTGACCGTGTACCAGCTGGGCACCAAGGAGGTCGCCTGCACGGAAAAGGTAGCCGTCGCCACCATCGACCCTGCCGACCACGTCTGCTGGATTCGGGCGACCATACACGAGACCGAGGCCATTGCCGCAGTCCCCTCCATGCACCAGGCCTTCGAGGACCAGTTCTCGGGAGGTGCCCCCGTGAACGGTGGTCCACGCGCCAAGGGCCCTTTTCGAGGCGACTCCGCTCCACAGGACAAGGCGCGCCAAAAGCACAAGGAGTCCAAGAAAGACGCTCGCCGCCAGGAGCTCGATAGTCAGCTCCAGGACACCTTCAAGGCCCTCTTCCACGGCAACTTTAAAGCCGTCACCATCCTCGAACCCTGCAAAAGCCTAGGCAGGTTTGGATCGGGCGTCGGAAAGAGGTCCCTGGCTGCCACCTTCGGCGTCAGTCTCCAAGCGGTCGACAAGGTCCTGGCGGGATCAGGGCAACTCGGTGCCACCTACGACCTCAGCAACGTAGGTGCAGACGAGCCCACCGCCGACAAGTATCAGACCGTTTGGTTCCCTGAGGACCAGCCCATCACGATGGCAGACGCGTTCCAGAAGTCGGTGGAGTTCAAGGCCCTGGGAGTCGTCAGGCACGGCAAGTCAGGCCTACTGGGGATCCGTGTTCCGCGGGGGTCCGACGTCGCCAAGGCCGCTGCTGTCAGCATCCGCGGCTGCGAGGCTACCCTCGCCAAGACGCGCTACCGCATCACTGGCATTGCGGCACGCCACGCCACGCTGACCCAGCTCGCCAAGACTCTCACGGGCCCGTCCGTTAAATGGGACTGTGAGGTCTACCACACCGCCTGGGACCCAGCCACTGCGGCCCAGTTTGCCTTAGTGCGCGCTCATCGGCCCCCACTCACCTATACGGTGCAGGTCGCGGGGTGCCCCATCCCGTGGAGCATCACCGAGGCCCCGCTGGCTGAGGTGGCGCCGAAGCGGGACAACGTTACCATCGTCACGCCTACCACCATCACAGAGCCTGTGACGCCGCCAGCCGGTGGTGGCGGCTTTAGCCCCGCCACCGGCACACTCCTCACCAAAGCGGCCCAGAGCCCCTACCTCCACGACCTCATGACTGCCACGCCCAAAGGCAAGGGCGTCGCA